CCTGTAATATAAAAACTTTGTTAATAAAATATTAAAAAATAAACAAGCATTTAACAATTACCGTCTGCACGAATTGTTAGCACTGCCGTCATCCGTCCCGCATGCTTCGACGTGTTGACCAGCCGCGCAGCATCCCTTCGTCCACGCCCTGCCCAAATTCGCGCGGGGTGGGGGGGGGGCATATCATAGCTGATGGCGGTTTCATCAACGTTGAGAATTTCGGACGGCTGATATGCAGCAAAGTCTCTCCAGAAGTTGATAGTAAGCCTAGCGCGAGTTTGCTTGAGGTCTTCCGTGCTCTCCTTTGCCGTTTGGGGCTTCTGAGATGTAAATCCATGGCTAAAAAATACAAAAAATGGTAAAAAAAAATTAATTGAATCAAAAAAATAAAAAATACAATTTACCGGGTAGCGAGACGTTCGCACATACGTTGCATCGCCAGTAGTCCGCTCCGCTTGTCGACCATGTAGTTGGTTACCCAATCAGGCTCAATTTGCCACATGTACTCCATAATTCCTCGCGTTGTAAGTGCCTAATGACATGAAGACCCGACATATTTAGCAAAATATAATAAAATTTACAAAAATGGTTACTCACCAACTAAGCACGACGCCCGTCCTTCATGAAGGTGACGATGGCAGCGACGTCAGGAAATAATTCCTTACGTCCCTGTCCCTTCATCGTCTTGGAGGTGGCGTGGCCTGTGAAGCTGAGCAGCTTGTCAGCCTGTTGCCACCACCCGTGGGTGGTGCCGCGAGAGCACTGCAGCTCCCGGGCCGCCTCCTCCACTCCGACCTCCTGCATCCGCCGGATAGCGTCCCGCTTCTCGCGGACACTGTAACTGCGCTGTTTCTTCGTCTTCTTGGGGGGGGGGGGGGGAGTCGTCGTCCATTTTGCAGAATAAAAAGTGAGCATGCAATACAATGATTTAGGTGTTGCGTGGTGGAGTTTTACCATAACCAGGGCCTCCGAAATATACATTTACCATAACATTATTTACCACAATTCTTCGTAAATTATTTATTTCAAAGATCTAAACCTGACCATGTGATAATTGACTTTTTGTACAGGAATGATTTCATAATTTATTAAAGGCTCTCTTATTTAATAATTTTCACAGCAACCAGTCATTTTTGGACCACCAATCGACTCCAACCTTCTCTGGGTCTTCTCAACTGTCAGCTATTCCGCATTTTCGTCGATACGCCTCACCTGCTTCCAGCCACTCTTGTAACTACCATGGTTCTTACCACACGATCCGGTAGCGCCTACACCAATGCCCAGATCTCGGGAGGCTACTTCCGACCGTGCCGTGGCGAGTATGACGAGGTGATCCTAGAATACTTCCGCTGTCGTTGCGGCACGGTTCGGAAGCAAACCAACCGCAACGGGTTTAGCAACCTAATGTGGTGTTGTAATTCCCACGGCAACTCTAGCTACTAGTGTAGGTAGGATAAACCCACAACAATACGTCTACCAGAACGGTAAACGATCGTTGGGCGTGATCT